TTCACTTGTCAGGTAATTGCCATTATGTGGAATTACTGGAACGCTTGAAAATTGCGCTGAATCAGTGCGTAGGCGAGCAGCTAAATCTTGCGAGTTGGCCCTCACTCCTAATTTGTCCCAGATGTTCTCAGCGCCATCCTTGCCGAGTCTAGCAATGGCTGGTTAAATCTCTGGCGCTTGTACGCTCTCTGGATCTCCGGGAGGTCCATCGTCGTTCTCCGGCCATTACACACTATTCTGCGATGAGTCGTCGCCAGCCGCTTGCTCTTCGCTTCTTCGCAAGTGCGCCGGTCGGGGGCGGCGCCACCACTGCAGCCGCCACGGGGCCCCGACTCCGAATGCGAATTTACTTGCATGTTTAGCACAATCACTTAACTCGCTAATTTCGATCCCACCACTCAGCCAGTCATTCAGCTTTCTAGCTCTATTCCAGTGTGTCGAATGAACACGATGCATGTGTTGCGACGCCGAAGCATCAGCCACTAACAACGACGCGATTCCGACGACGTGGGTGCGTTCTGGGACAGTCACGTCTCCCGAAGCACCTCGGCACTCTCGGGATCATCATCCCTGATGTGGAATGAAACGTCAGAATATTCGTACGCTATCACTGATCGTGTGCACATTTACGTATCTGCTTGTTGGTGCTGCCGTATTCGACGCACTCGAATCAGACAACGAATTGCAACAGGTTAGTCTGGCATAGTTAGTAATTTACAGTTTCTTCTTTATAAGCTTCAAAATCATCCTTTATCGCATATTATGTATATTCTCATTCTTTCTACTCAATTTCTTTTTTCTGCATAGTTCTTACTCTGTTCTCCAGATCTGAGATAATACTTTATATGCCAGTGATACACGCACTACATTCCCCTTGAGAACTACAAAAATTTTCACTTCCCACTTAACCTTTTAGCATGCTCTAAATCCAATTTTAATTACCACTTCCGACGCAGCACTCCAAAAATGACTAAGCTGTGTTTCCAAAAGATTTTTTTTCTAAACTATCGATTTTGCAAGCGCTGGAAAGCAAGTTGGACAACTTTGCCCGGGACTCATCTTTACAATGATCCATAAAGAAATGCTCTTAGTTGACTGCATATGCTGCTCGTTAGAAACTAATGACATAATCATACACCCACTTCCTTTGCATGTGGTTATAGATGAGAGTAAAAGCAAAGGCAGAAAATGACTGCGTTGTAGCTATCTGATGAAAACGTCCCAGCAACTGCTAGAGGGATTTCTTGTAGACGACCAAATAATCATAAACCTTCGCTCGATAAATGGCTCCTAAAGAATCTGTTCGTGATGAATCTGTCACGAATAAGATTTATTTTGCTGTGCAATAAAAATTTATGCAAAAGCAAGTGAGCAAATTTTTCTTTATGCTCTAACTAATATGGTTTATACATCTTACAGAATTTTTGTTCATTAAAATTGTGCTTTAGCGGCAATCAATAAACTTCTGAGCCTGCCAGATCTTTGCGTTTAATTCATATGATTTATCTCTCCATTTTCTTATTCTTAGTTCATTCAACACTTTTTGCCTCGCTGTTTAGGACAGGTGACACTCAACGGTTATGACTATCTGAAGCATACTTTTCACTTTCTTGTTAATTGTCACTGGTTTTCTTGAAACACTTTGATCTTATGAATTTCTATGATAGCTGCGCGCTCATTCAATACAATTATCCAATTATATTAGGTTAGTCCGAAAATGCTGTTTTTTTTCATTTTAAAAAATGATAACTTCTCGCTACCTGCAAAATTTTTGAAAAAGAAGAAACCTTCTAATTTGTAGTAAAGTCTTGGCGACTTCCTTCCAAACACTGTTTGCAGAGATAAAATTTGATGAAGAAGTACCGTTCTTTTCGATTCATTTAAAATAGACTGCCAAAAGTCTGAAACGTTGCAGAAAAGTTGGAATCATCAGTACAAAAGTTAGACTTACATTTTTAGCTGTGGAAAGTTTGTGCTGATCGGACGTACATGAAAGGTACTTTTTGAGAAACATGATAGAATAATATATACCACCATTTTCTATCGTGAACTCTAAAATCATAACTTCTTATATAGACGTCCGTTCAGCACTAACTTATCAGAGGTGGAAGGAGAGGTCTTAAAACTTATGTGCATGACGATTCCGATTTTTTTTGCAGCGTTTCAGGTTCCTGGCTGCGAAACCTAAAATGATCGAGGCTAGAACGAACTTCTTCAGATTTTTCTCTGCGACCAGTGTCAAAAAGCTCAATAAATTTCACATACAAAGTAGAAGGCTTCTTCTTTCTAATAAAATTACAAACCAAATCTGTTCAGGTAGCGAGAATTTACGATTTTTTGAATATGAAATAGCAGAACTTTTGGACCTACCTTATATTTCGCTTCAGCCTTTTCCATGCTTTTTGGCCATTTTATTCCCAATGGTTACGGTGCAAGCATGATAACTGAGCTGTTTTTTTAAGGGTGTAACATGTTGTTGATAATTGATGTTGCTGCTATCTTTTGACATTGATTGGACCCATTTCCTTTATTTTTGCCACTGTGATTCTCCTCTACAAAAGCAATCTCCTTTACCCGCCCCCCCCCCCCGCCCTTCACCTCTTCCTCCCACGCCTCCTTCGGCACTCTAGACACTGGTGATTTTCTTTGTTCATGTTGTATGTTCGTGTTGATGGAAGTGACGTCGAATCTGTCGTTTTGCTGTAAAGTGCACACACCACGCGAGTCGCAACATTGATTGCTGGTGATTAACGGAACCATGCGGGATTTATGTGTGGTTAAGGATCCAAATTTTAGATACAAGAAATATTGCGCAATTTTTTTTCTCAGTACCGTTACCATTTGTACGACAAGTCAGTTAAATTTTGAATTTATCTGCTTTTTTGTGAGAAGCAGCTGACTTGTAGCTTTCGTTTTTACCACCGGAAAGCAGGAGAAATATTCTATGCATCTGCGTTTCCTTTTCCCTTTTTTCCCGCAGTATGTGACATTCAAAAACTTGAAGACTAACTTTTATCAAGTTTCTTCTCTTGATTCTGCACTTATATTACCGAAATTACTTGGTAAAAATCGCGCCTTATATTTCCAACAATCAAATTCCTAAAAAGGATGGTGGTAAATAGTCTTTTGAGCAAATCACAGATCTTAAAATATTTCATTGCTGAACCTATCAGATGTCCTGATCGATGATTTCGAAACTTTATAAGAACTGGACAACCATATTTTTTTAAGGTCGTTTGTGTCTGAAAGCAATAGCTTTGAAAGATCAAAGTTATGAAAATCAAGCACCTGTTAAACATCTTACATGACACGTACAAGTGAAACTCGAGCTGAGACCAAAAACTGCAACGAAGAGCAGAAGATATATCTTATTTCCTATGTTCGAAAACATATGATCAACATCTTGCATACATTAGCGGGGAGAATCTTTCATTTATACATGAAGAGTTTAACAAATTCTT